CTTGAGCAAATTACCATAGACTTGCAATGGATGAGGTGGGAGGGACCAGGAAGAAATCATATAGCGGCCGGAAAGACTGTAGACCCTGAGTACCTTAGCCAATGGGGAAAAGGGGAGGGACTTGTGATCGGGAATGTATATAATTAGGCCGGAGTGTGTGTGTGGGGGTGGCTTCTTATTTGCAATGAAGCCCACCAGCCTTTGCAAACGCTTCCAATAAAACTTTACTTCTGACTAACCTAGAGAGATTTGTGGTGCTTGTTTCACACACAGAGTAACCTGAGGTTATCAGGGAAATTGGTCCTTATTTATATGGGTGATTGGTAGATAAGTAGCAAATCTCTCCAAAGTTGAGAATACAATAATACATGGAATGTGAATAAAGTATTTACAGGATTAGAAACTTGCAGATGTTTCATAACCCAACTAAGTAACATCATCAGTGCAAGTGTGTGTGGGGTTTGCTCCCTGTTTATACAGTAGCTTCCCTTGCCAGTGTTGGTGGAGGTGTGGTTTCTCCTTGGTAGTTCCTTGATCGATTGTTTTCTGCTTGATTGTTGGTCTAGTGTTAATCCCTGCTTATCTTTTTGTTGTCTCTTTTGAATGGTGTGTCTATTACAACCACAGGGCATCCCCATAGCACACAAACCAACCAAAGCCCTCCAAAACATCTTAAGTAAACAAAAGACCCAGTAGCCCAGGAAGAAAAAATAGGAGTTAACTAGAACATATAGTACAACATACAGTAACAGCCACTATGTAGGACAGACAGGCAGAAGACTAGCAGAGCACATCCATGAACACCAACTAGCAGAAGACATGATGAAAACTCCTTAATCGCACAACACATGGACAGACTCACCCACAGTTTCAACTAGGAAACTGTCAGCATCCTAGACCAAGCTAAATCCAAAAACACTAGGGAATTCCTGGAAGCTTGGCATTTAGACAAAACAGCCATCAACAGACACATAGAAATAAACCATATTTACACACCATTCAAAAGAGAGAACAAAAAGCTAAGAAGGAAACAAAAAAGACCAGAACACATCCCCTCCAGGAGCCAGTGCCCAGATAAGCAGGGATTAACAACAGACAATCAAGCAGAAAACAATATCTATATATACAGCCATATACATTCAAATAAATAAACTTCATCTGGTCTTTTTGGGGGGGGGGGTGTGCTTTCAAAGTCAGTATTGACTCCTGGCAACTGCCTGGACTAGTCCCTGCAATTTTCTTGGCAACCTTTTCAGGAGTTTATCACTGCCTTTTTCCCAGGGCTGAGAGGGAGTGACTGGTCACCCCGCTGGCTTCGTACCTAAGGCAGGAATAGAATTCACAATCTCCCAGGTTTTAGCCTGGTGCCTTAACCACTACATCAAACTGGCTCTCTCATTTGATCTATACATACACTGAATATGGATATTTAATTATTTCTATTTCTGTATAAGATTACAAGTACTTTTGTTTGTTTATTTTTTGGTTTGTTTTATATTTGAAGTTTTGTGTTCTCATGCATATCCTTTGAAAACCAACATATTTCTCTTTCTTATTAGTCAGTGATTTTCCCTTGATGACAGCACTAGTCATAGATCTTATCAATGGAATAAATCTTTTCTAAACAGTACTGGACAAGCCTCATAAACTGCTGTTAGCTGGTTTTATTTGGAAGGGGTGAGACTTTGCAAGATAAAAATCTATTCTTCAGCAAACCTCTCATCAACAGGTTGGAGTTACCATGCTCAAGGGAAGTGACAGAGTAGCAGTTACATAGAGTAGGTTTTTTTGGAAACAAGTTGGTCCACTAATTCTGAATAGCATTAATAAGGGGTTCTTTTTTCTCCTCCACTTTTTTGGGAATACTGTAGTTAAGATTAGTGGGAAGGGGACTGGCCACATCATCTTCAAATTTTCACTGGTCATCCTTTCAGTTTTTTCCTCTCGTATGCAAAGTTGCTTCCTATACCAGTTACCAGATTTTTTTGCTTCCTATCCCCAGAAACTCAGCAGCTACTAAATACTCCTAGCAGCTGCAGCCCCATCCTCCAACCCCTGATTGTAGAGAATACATTCTTTCCAAATACCTCCCATCCTAGTCAATAAATTGTAATCATTGTAACTGTAATCATTTTGAAAGAGAAATAGGAAAATTTATTACTGCTTTTTTTCTCACTCCTCACATAAGCAGGCTGTTACAAATTCTCCTTGCCAGGGTTTTAAATTAAGTGCCATACAGTATTTAGCACCAAGTAAGCTGAATGCTTTTCAGAGGTTGTAGATTCATATAAAGAGAATTACAGTAACCAATGTAACTGATTCAGGAGTAGTTACAGTTGGCATATTAAACATAATTCTGCAAACACACTTCTTACTCAGTTCCCAAGGGAGAGTTGTTGCTGAGAGGCAACAAGCATTCCCAGACTACTAACCATTTTTTTTAATGTATTTATTTGTTTATTTAAAATATTTGTATGGCTGCTCATCTTAAACAACTCTGGGTGGCTCACAACAGCAGTAAAACCAGTAACTATAAAACATAACCATAAAACAATAAAACAGTAAAATGATAAAAACAAAAACCTTCACTTTAACCATCCCCCTAGGATGCCCTGCAGCTAGCTCCAATTACCCTCATTCCATTCTTTTTATCCTGTCCTGTCCTATCCCTGCACCTTCGTAAAAAGCCAGGGCTTGATGGCCTTCCAAAAGGCTAAAAGGGTGGGGGCCTGCCGAATCTCCTGGGGGAGGGTGTTCCATAAGGTAGGGGCATGCTTCTGAGGTCCCACTAGTGGCAGGATTTTAAGGACGGATGTGCCTACCCTATCCAATCTATCTAGTAGGACAGGCAGATATTCTTAGGGAGAGGCAGCCCTGCAAATAACCAGGTCCTGTGCTATGTAGGGCTTTAAAGGTGATAACCAGCACCTTGAATTGCACCGGGAAGGAAACTAGGAGACAGTGCAGCTCACGCAATAGAGGTATAATGTGAGCGAACCTATGAACACCCAATACTGTGTGCGCCACTGCATTCTGGACTAGTTGTAACTTCCGAGTGGTCTTCAAGGGCAGCCCCATGTAAAGCACATTGCAGTAATCCAAACGGGAAGTGACTAAGGCGTGAGTGACCATGAGTTGTTTTTTCAGGAGAAATACAACTCTATCCAGCATAGACTGTACCCCAGTCTACAAGTCTACTTTTTAATTGGGCAACAGCTTCTCTGTTTTGTCTGGAGTTCAGTGTATTTTCCCACATCTAGTTCAATGTTGAGCTTAAGTTCAAGAATCTGAATTACGTTACAACATTTGTTTTCTGGTAAACATTTCTGGTAAAATGTTGGCAATTGCCTAGAGAAAAAGGTTTCTAAAAGAATCTTATGTGCATTCAGTTCTAATCATAACCATTATTGTTTAGACTGAGCACAACTATTACCAAAATACGAGAGTCTGACAAAGTGCAAAGGACAGTAACCTAGTATGCCCTGTCTCCTCTAGGACATATGCTGTTGGGGGCTATAGAAATACTCCTTTGAGTCAGAGCTCATCTTCTCTGGTCTGGAGATCCTGGCAGATGGGTCAGTGCAATCTTGTGTTTCTGATTTTTTTTATAGCAGGAAAAGATAAACACCATTCTGCATAGAGCATAACTCTGTATACATGCTATTCATATAGTTTTAATAAAGTTATTTATATTGTTTACTTGTAGTTCTATGTTTAATTGGCTATATCAACATACACAACACATCTATTTCCTGAGTTGGAGGTTCTGGTCAAGATGGCTGCTAACAGGCAATTTTAGGAAAATTGCTTAAATTAATTCCAAAACTTGAATGAACGAATGAATGGCTTTAGACCTTTTTTGACAAATGACTGGTGGGCCTAGAACTGTGTGACTATTACTCCTCTTTTTTTCTCCATTGTAAACAATGGGAGACCAGTCGCACAAAAAAGACACTTATCTGAGCTCCCATTGCCTCCTTCCTTAATCTGTTTGTGTCTTCTTCTCCTTCTCCTTCTTTTGATTCACCACAAAAGAAAGCAACCCTTATTCATCTTGGTGCCCTCCAGAGGCATAGGATTACAGTTCATGGTTCAGTTAGGCCAGTGTTTTTCAAACTTGGCAACTTTAAAATGTCTAAACTTTAACTCCCAGAATTCCCCAGCTAGCATGGGCTGGCTAGGGAATTCTCGAAGTTGAAGACCACACATCTTAAAAGTTGCCAAATTTGAAAAACACTGGGTTAGGCTATTTTAGATGTTGAGAAGGGCTCTCTGGAGGTAATGTGCATTTCAAGGCGTGGCAGGGTAAGGGCAAGGATGCTGCTCCTCAGCAGGGCCCCCGGCTTCTGCTCCAGCCTTCTGCTTTGAAATTCCCACTAAGTCTAGCCTATGCCCTTTCGCTTCTTTGGAGGCGCCCACTCCAGCCTTTTCAAAGAAGTCGGTTTTTCTTCCCAGCTCTGGAGCCGCCCATCTCAGTATAATTTTTGGAGTTATCAATGCCCATCATCTAACTAGCATTTTCCCTTTAGCAACTGAAGCAGCGTTTCTCAAGCTTGGTAGCTTTCAGATTTGTGGACTTCAACTCCCAGAATTCCCTAGCCAGCCCAAGCGGCTGGGGAATTCTAAGAAAGTCCACATATCTTAAAGTTGCCAAGTTTGAAAAACGCTGGAAAACGTTTCCTCTGCAAATCTCGTGCTTCCCTTTCCCGCACCTCTGTAGCAGAGGAAACAAGCCAGATCACTCTACAGTGTGCAGTCCTTCCAACATGAAGCCTTCGGTGCTACGCCGAGAGGCCGATAACGGGAAGTGACGTAAAGGCCGAGCGACGGCAGTGACGTTTTCTTTGCCCGCCAGGGAGGGACATTTCCTCCACTTCAGAGAACTCGTGCGCGTCTCTGCAAGGAGTCCGGAGGCTTAGCCATGGCGCCGGGCGGTCAGATGGGGCCTGCTGGCGGGAGCTCCGGCGCGGTTACCCCTGAAGGCCTGCGCGGCTGGATCCGAGGAGCTTACCGCTTTGCCACGGACCGCAACGACTTTCGCAGGTGAGAGAGGTATTGAGGGGCTACGGTCCTCGACCAGAAAACCCTCTGGAAAAAGAGGAGGGAGCGCCCTCCGCTGTTTAGGCCAAGGGCCTCTCGTACCCTGTAAAGTCGTTTTTCTCTATCCACATGCTGCGGCTGGGACTGCTGTAGGTTAAAGCCCAACAATCTGAAAGATACCAGGTTGGAAATAGATCTGCCCTTGATGTATCGTCGTTCTTGAAGATGGCATTTGGAAACTCATGAAGAATCAGACTTTTAGGGGTTACTAGTTATGATGGCTGTATGCTTACTCCATTTTCAGAGGTGATAAGCGCACCATTTGTTCACGAACACAAAGTGTTATTGTATATTCATGTCCCTCTTGGAAGCTTTCCATAAGTGTCTAGTCACTGGAACTACCGCTAGATCTGACAGGCCTTGAGGCAGTTAATCTCTTGTGTTCTTAAGGTATACAGAAGAGCTAAATCAAAACAACAGACACCATCCCTCATCTTATGTATTTTTTTTATAGCAATATTAAAAGACTTGTGGTTAGTATACCTTTCCTCAAAAGGCAGTGGAGAACACACAGATCATTCCTGCAACTTAGAAGATGCTAAGAAAGTTACTTGATAGTGTTGTTAAACTGATTATGTTAGGAATACCTTTTTAGTGTCTTTAGGTAGAAAATTCTGTATTAGGACTCTAATCAGTATCAGCTCTCATTAGCTCTCATTTGTATTTGTTACAGAAACCTCATAGTTAATCTGGGACTCTTTGCAGTGGGTGTCTGGGTAGCCAGAAACTTAACAGACATTGATTTGATGGCACCACAACCTGTTGCATAGCAGAGGTGAGTAGCCAAAATGATAGAAATATACCATAGTGTGTAACTTCTTGTTTCTTCTCATTAAGTAGATTATTCATTTATGCCAAGCCCAATTAACTATTAAACAGATTGCACTTGTTCTATGCAAGCATAATTTCTTAAACTTGAATGCAAACTGTTTTGTTAGTATCTTCAGCAAACCACGATGCCAAAATGACAATATTTATCTAGTGACATCATCCCATAAGTGCCACAGTTATATATATTTGTGTCCCAATATCTGATGCAAGTACATAAGTCATGACATGACATCATGCATGTTTTGTGATTTGCACATCCCAATCCTTTAGTGTTCTATAAAACTGTCACATTCATGATCTTTGGTTACATTGAATATCAGCCTTCCATTATAATTTTTTAAAATCTGAGACTAGGAAAAAAAATTGTTTATTATCATGAGTAAGAAAAATACTTTATCAAAAGTGGAAAATCAATATGCCTTTTCTAATATTGACACTAAGTAATTTTTCTTTGGATGGATTTTTCTCCTGCCCTTGAGTTGGGCAGGAAGAAAGTTTTACCAAGCCTCAGGAAAAGGCAGGTGGCATTGCTGCCCTCACAGAAAGTAACATGGGTAGCAACTGGTTCTCCAAAAACAGCTATGTGAAGAGTCCTGCCAACCCTGAATGGGAGGTTCTGTCCTGCTACATACAAAACAACATAGGGGGGAAATTACTTAGCCCTAAGATGCAAAGAGAAGGTAGGGTTTCAAAGCAGCATTCTGCCTCCTAGTCAGAAATCCTCAAAGAGACAAAGTTGCTTCAGCACTTTCCTCTTTCCCTCCTTTCCTCTTGTGCATTTACAGCACAAAGTATGTTATTTCCTTCAGTGAAGGCCTAAGTCAGACACAAATAATTAAATGCTTTTCTCAGCAGAGGGGGCAGCAGACACTCAGTTTGTGTCTGATCATTGTTGGCCTGCAGCTTGCCAAAAGAGGTTGCTCTGATCTCTTTTTACATTTGGAGTGGCTGGTGGGTAGGTAAGGAAGATTCAGCTTTTCCCAGCCTGGTTTCTGGTATAACCAGAGGCAAGGAGACAATTGGAATTCAGCCCTTCCCCTTTTACTAGTTGCTACAAGCTACACTTCCTCCCCCTACCAAAGCTTTTCTTCCTTCCTGTTCTCAAGGCCCCATGTTTAGTATCCAATGCATGGAATTTCCATTCTGGAATTCAAGGGCTCAAACAAGTAGCTGCAGCAAGCTGACAGCTGGCTGCATACTTGCAGAAACATGAATGACAAGCCTCAAAAGTAATTCTTTGCAGAGGCAGGAATCCATATTAGGTCCTACAGAGCCATTTGATTTGTGTCACATAGGAGTATCAACCTTCTGGTAAATGTGAGGTTGGTCTTCTGTGAAATCAATATTTCTTTAAATGAATTAAAAACAAAATCAGGCAATGCCGATGAAGTCCCTCTGGCAGCCATAGCAAAACTAATTGTCAGGTGGGAATTACTCCTACAGCAGGCCAGTTAGAGCCCCCCAAAATCACCACCTTCTGGAAGCTCCTCCATGTGCATGAAAATGTTTGCATAGGAGGTTTTCTTCCCTTTTCCCAGGGAAAATTCTACTTGCAAGCCAGAGCACCTTGGACCAGCTTCAGCCTGCTCCTCCAGTGGGCTGGCAATGAGATGGAGGCTCTGCTCTAAGGGTATATCCTCAGCAAATGGTAAGTGGGGTAACTTTGAGCTGAGGCAAGGAGGCTCTGTAGTTGACTCCTACTACAAAAACCCTTCCACCAGTTCTAGCATTTCTTATGCCTCAGCCATTTTAACATAGAGGGGTGGTTGGATTTATTGTTTTTACAGGTAGTCCTCACTTAACCATTCGTTTAGTGACCGTTCGAAGTTACAACGGTGCTGAACAAAAGGACTTACAACTGTTGCAGCACCCCTGCAGTCACATGATTGCAATCTGGGTGCTTGGCAAACAGCTTGCACTTACAAGAGTTGCAGCATCCTGGGATCATGTGATCACCATTTGCGACCTTCCCAGCTGGCTTCTGGCAAGCAAAATCAATGGGGAACCACATGATTTGCTTAACGGGCAGAGTGATTCGCTTAATGACTGCTGCAAAAAAAGGTTGTAAAATTGGACGTGACTCACTTAACAAATTTTCCAGTCCCTTGAGGTTGTTAAGCAAGGACCACCTGTATTTGAAACTGCAGAGGAAAAAATACTACCAAAGCCTACAGTTCATGAACAAATAGAACCATTAAGCCTGTTTAGGCTTTTGTGGCAAAGTTTGTTCACATACTGGAATATATAAATCTGCATACCTAAGCAGGCATTTTAGTATAGGTTTCTAATTCTACTTGAATTTGTCTGAAAAAAATACATTAAAGAGAGAGATTTGGTATAAAAGAATATTTGGTGGTACTTGGAAGACTATTAACTGTTAAACTGATCACAATGATCCTTGTATCCCTAAAACTGCAACCTTGCTGACAGCATACAGCAAACATTGTGATGTCTTTCTTGATAAGTGGATTTGAAAGTTTAATCTGTGAGATGTTAATTCCGTGGCCTTCCTGAAAATATTAAAGTATACAATCTTTCTTAAAATCTTCATTCTTATCACTAAGCAGTTGTGGCATCTCTATGATTAGCTATATAATTTTAAAGTCTGAGTTTTTAGGATTTCTTTTACATTCTCCCAGCATAAGAATTTGAGAATGAGAGTTGTGTCATATAGACTTCTACCAGTTACAGATTATATGTATTTGTGAGAAGACTGTATGTTGCTTTTTTTATTTAGCTGAGCAGTGCCATCACCCTCTAATTTTTTTTACCATGGCAATTTTTTTACAGATTTTACAAATCTGAACTTCCCTCCCCTGTATGAGAGAAAAAGCAAGAAGAATTGGAGAAAACAGAGGCAATATTTTACCTGTACATCATTCTTCATTACGCTCAATTCATTCTTTGGCGGCATTAGGTTTTATACTCAATAGTAATAGACCACCATTTCTGTTTTTGCTAAAAGGTTTTTGATATGTACATTATTTTACAGAATTTAACTGTTAGAGTCTGACCTGAAATGTGAAATAAAGACATGCCAGTGCACTGGACTTTTTTCTTTTTAATAGGAAATTTCAGCTTACAAAAACAAGGTAAAAAGAGTAGAGATTTACAAAATCATAAAAACATGATTCATATTTCACTTTTAAAGAAGTAACAAGTCCCAGTCCTGTGTTTAAGTAGGACTATTAACTATTGAACGGAAAAATACATTTTAAAAAGGCCTAGGTGAGGGTTAATAATGGCAACTTTCAGCCGGCATAACAGTTGTGTGGTGCTTTGAGTTGATTGTATGTTAAACATGGAAAAAGAATTGTGTTGCATAGCATTTTGATTCCTTGACTTGCTCTATGTGCCTTTCAAGTTAACTGGAAACTATTTATGAAAGATGTACATTTTTTTTAAGTTGAGATGTTTTGCCTCTTTTGGAAGGTTACCACTGCCATTGCAAGGCATCTTTTAACACATTAGTTAGCAAAATAGAATGATTCTTCATCAGAGAACCATTTCCTTTTTCAAAATGTGGATAAAAGATAGCTTAATCCAAAAGAAACACAAACCAATGAATGTATCAGTTGCCGTCAAGAAGGAAATTAGAGGACAAATTCTATGAGGATGGAGTCTTATCTGCCAAAATTTGGGGAGGTATGTTAATGGACAGAAAGGATGTAATGCTGTCAGAGCTTAATTTAGTTTGTTCATAATGGCTGGAAAATGCCCATTTCCACCTTTGTGTCACTAAAGGTTCTTGCATTAAAAAAGAACTTTAAATCCATCTCAACATATCAGTTTAGAAGTAGTTCAAAAATAATTATCTAGTGCATTGGTGGATTGTTGGATATTGACAGGTCTGTCCTCTTTTGTCCACTTCCATTCTACAAAATCTTGCAGTAGAGGCAATATCATATACAGCAAGTGTAAGTCAACTTCAATAATTATACAAGTAGTAGTCAAAAGTGAAGCTGTAAATTACTACTCATAATCAAACTGTTCTCAAAGACAAACCTTTAACACTTTTTACTACTCTTAAATTAAAATTAGAATAATTTAGCAATAAGAAGAAAGTGACTTCGGAGAATTCTTGCATTTAGAAAATACCTTCTTTAAAATCAACCTTTCACTGTGAAATAGGGTTGTTTTGGTGGCAAAATGTATTATTTCTCAGAGAAGACCTATTGAATTTTGTACACTGAAAAGCCAAAATCTAATCCAAGCTCTTTCAGCATATTTTAGGTAAAATAGCAATTTTCTATACAGTTTTGAAAAGCAAGCAGAAACAAAGCCTACTTAATTTTTAGGCTAATTAGACTAAAATCCTAAATCTTACATTTTATGGAAATAGGTTCTCTTCGAACTGATTGGAGTGGGAATAGAATTAAGCTTCTTTGCTGGCAGAATACTATCTGGTGGTGGAGTAACACCATCAACTTTAAACCCAGACTGCCTCAGCTACCACTTCACTTGGTATTAGGTAAATTGTGAGTCTCTTTCCCAATTGTTAATGATGTATTCTGCAGTACTGATACATCAGGATTTCCTAAGTAGTGGTAAACATTTTACTAAGGTCACTATACATCTTATAAATATTTTGTGTGCTGGATTCCTAAGTAACAAAATTGATTTTGCCTTAAATGTAGGATTGTAGCAGTATTAGGAACAAGTTTATGTTTGTGTTCAGTTCCAATCATTTCAATGTATGCTGCACTGGATTTTTAAGGAATCTTACAAGACACTCTGTGTTAGGACTGCTACATAGCATTCATGATAGGAGAATTTTATCATTAAATATATAGATGTAATAACCAGGTCTTTCACCTTATTGCATGTGGGAAGACTACAGGCTGAATGTGTAAGAGAGGCCATTCTAATTTCACTAAGGAATAGTGGCAACTGTGATGTGAATTTTTGGATTCTTCAACTGATAGCATATGCCTAATCCAAGCCTTTCTGTTCAAAAGAGAATGGGTTTTGTTCCTCCAAGTAAAGTCCCATGAAATATTTTAACACTGTTAAATATTTCCCTGTTTATAGTCTCATTTAAAGTGAATTTGAAGAGCACAGTTCAGCCTGCATCTTGGTAGCATTGTCGCATGTTCTGCACTACAAATAATCAGCCGGACCCTATTGAGAAGTATTACAACTCAAAATAGGCATATTACAGCTATGGAATAGTAACCATGAATAATCTTATTCAAGGGGCTGTATTTAAGAACATATTTCCAGTTATTAGACTACTAGATGTTATGTCTAATTTCATGAAATAGTATTCAGTAGATGGTTGATTTTATTATTTTTATACTCATGTGCATGATACATACTATTAAAGTATTATCTGCATGAAGATATGTTGAGTCACTGTCATCTTTAACTAGAAGTAAGAGAAGGAATATCATAGCAAAAGAGAACCTTTATCTTGCAAGGCACCAGTCAGTAGTTTAAGAGCCTTTTCCAAATTGCTTTGTGAATAAGTTGCTCTAGGGATTCTTATCATTTGTGTTTTAATTATGAATTACTTGCTTAAAGAGGAATAATCCTACCTCAAAAAAAAAAAAAAATTACAAGGATTTAACACAAAACCCAAAATGATCTACTTTTGAGCAAATCATTTGCATCATTAGAAATACAGTATTTAGACATATACAATAAAATACATCAAGTTGCTGGTAGGAAACATTTTCCTATTCACATATAGATATGAAATGTAAAAAACAGACAAAAAAACAACCCAAACCTGCTACCAAAGTATTGTAAAGACGCAGATTTGGGAGTGAAGAAACTAAAAACTTGTGTCCCATGCAAAATGTAGTTAGGTACAAGGCACCATTTTAAACTTTAAAAAATTGTTCATAAAGTTTTATCAGGAGGCAAAATTAATCCTATACCCAACTTTCACCCGATTCATAAACATAATATTCAGTCAGCAATACTGTTGGATGTGTCTGCAATTTGTGCTGGGGATAATTGTTACTTTAAAATTCACTTGTTCACTTTCTTTCCTTAAGCATAACATTCACAAAACATAATGGAATTTTACAATCAGAGATTGTATCTATAAAAAGACATGCTTTTTTCTTAGCATCTCCTTATGAATCCATACAACACATTTATTTGTGCATTTTAATTTCTGTGTGTATAAACTTTCCCTGAAGTGAATGAAAACAGCTCATTCAAAAGCAACAGCAATAAAAAAAGAGCATCTCTGTAGTCAACTTTACCATACAACAAAGAAATATGCTGGGATATTGTCCTAATTTATTTGCTTGATAAAGTTGATAACATTTTCCATTGTTATCTAATAGAAAAAGAATGTCATTATTTTCTTTTTTTCCTTCTCCCTACACATTTAGTTTTGATTAGGAGCTGTTTATTCTTCTGCAAATTTTAGAGATACAGATGTATCAAATTAATAAAATCTGATTTATATTAATACTCCTTTTTAAAAAAACGATGTTCTGAATTGCTTCACTCAATTTTATATTTCATCACTAGTTTTGGCAGTAGGCACAGAATTAGCTTTGTTCCGTTGTATTCAATGATTTTTAACTGTAGCCAGCTTACTCCTGTGGGTAAATTTAAAGGCTGTTTCCCAAAGACGCTTATGCAGAAGTAAGTTACTCAGGTTAATGGGCTTGCTTCCTAGTCAGCATAGTTAGGATCATGTAACTCTTAAGGTGACTAAACTGCTACCATGGTTTAGCAGGTATGTATGTGCTTTTAGTCATATCTTTGCTGGTATGCAGTGACTTGTGTGAATGAATCACTGTTCTATGATAAATATTTTCAAATCAGGGCTGGCTGATCCTGTCAGCCCTGCAGTTAATACATATGCAAACAAAGGAGTTGGATGTGGCTAGAAAATTAATAAGGGAAGACGTATTATTTGTTATTCTGTTAGGCTTCCATTATAATGGCAATAGATAGAATTATCGAGAAAAGTCAATTATTACATTTCTGCCAACCAGGACACTTTAAAACAGTGTACACAGAATAGCAAGAACACTGCTTGTAGCAGATAGATATAAAAGAAACAGCATAAAAATGCTATACACTATCGCTTCCAAATAAAAGCTAATATTACAGAAACCTCACAGTGTTGGGAACAGCAAGCTCAATTCAAAAGTAAGTTACTTCCATCTCTCAAGATAACTTTTAATTGCACATTTTTTTTACATCCCATGGCACTGTTATTCACATGAGAGGCTATGACTTTTCAAATCTTGGGAAATGTGAAGCATTCATGACTATTAATACACCCACATCTGAGTGCCCTGTTATCTTCCGCCCCACGTGTCTCCTGTAACTCTCAGATGTTCCTACTTATTCAAATATGGACGCAGTAATCAAAAGGTGAGTATTAACGAAAGTGTGCCAGTTATTAATCAATTTCTCTAGTTGTGCTTTTTTTTTCTTTTTTAGAGGTGGGTAACCTCTGAAGGTTTCTGCAGTTCTGAATACCTCATGATACATTCCATATCAGCCATTGTCACAAGGACAAGAAAGAAGGCAGATGGGCACACAGGAGAGCTCAACAACTCAAATTACAGAATCCAAAAACTAGAGCCATTGAGAACTCTCAAGATTGCCTAGCTGCCAGGCAGCATTTTCCTTTCTTTATGGGAGTCGAAACAGCTGGAATGTTACATGCTAGATGCTCCTGGTGATGTTCTGAATTCTTGGGGTGGGGTAGAGTTGGGGGAGCAAGATGTTTTATGGCACTGAATGAGAAAGTAAGAAAACAAATATGGGGAGAAAATGGAATGGATAAGTGTTTGTGCAAATGGGAGTGCTTGAAAGATCTTAATTTATAAAAATGGCTGCCTTTCATTTTTGTTTTGAGATTCGTGAATAGAGGAACAATCTGAATGATAATTTGGAAGCAAAATAAGTGAAGTGGCCACTAGTCTGGACATCAGCCCTGACTATCTTTCCCGGAAATAGTCTTTCAAAGCCTTTCACACTGTAAAAATCAACAACAGGGATCTAGTTAATTTATCATTAAGAATGCTTCTGCTAAAAAAAAAAAAATTCTGGAATGGCAATTATGTTGTTTTATGAGTCACATCTGGGCTCCCATTTGACTGGAGACCACAATCTAACAGAATCAGAAAGTGAATCATAGAGTCAGGACTAACACTGCATGCAAGAATCCCACGCACTTCCAATTTAGTGCCATAACAGGATGAGAAGAGGCAAGTCTGTAGGCTTTTCTTTCATTATTTTGTGATTCAGTTTCATCAGGAACTCACTGATGGACTTAGAAATACAGGTTCAGAGTTGCCACAGGAAAGCACATGAAAACACTGCATATGCCAGAACCGTGTCCATTTTTGTTTTTAAAACCTCCAGCTTGTCACTACCATGCTTGAATTGGGCTTGCTGCAGATCTCTGTAAATGGCATTTCCCCCTACTCTGCTGAAAGCCAAATCCTATACACAGCAATTTATATTGGTTGGCTAGCCACAACACACATCAGCTATTAATGGCCTTGTGAAAAAGCTTGCATTTTTCAAGGCTATGTACAAACCAGCAAAAGAATCCATTTCATATACCTTAAGTGAATAATATGGGATTTGTATGCTGTTCATCAGTATTTCTTAACTGAAAGGCAGCAAGTTGCATAGCCGCAACTGAGGTCTGTGTTTTCCAGGTACACCCTTCACAAAGAACTGAAACAGTGGTAATTGTGAAAGGTTAACAATTAAAAGTAACCATGATAAATAGCATGTTAGTGATACAGTATTTAAAGTCCAGATGAAGCAGTCGTGTGCCTTTCCCTTAGACATATATCAAGAGTTTTGATGCTAGATTTCTGGAGCTGTGTGTGTATTATATCTCTGAGACAGCAAGAACAACAACTGAGGGAAAAAGTCTTTTCTCAATAAGACTCAAAAAAAAGAAAAAAACCCACAAAACCATCTTTTTAAGACTCCCAAAAACACAACAAAGGGGAAACTGAATGGAAAAATGGTCATGAAAAGGAGGATATTACTAGGGGGAAGTGATCCTGTCTCTCTGTGTGATGGCTACTATATTCCTGACCATTTTTTTCTTGTACATGAGAAAGCATTACGGATTTAGGATAAGAGTTGATTTTTTAAAATCTGCTTCTGTTGAACCATGTGTCCTTTAATACTTGTAACCTAAACTTCACCGTTAACCTGAATGGATTCACATGACCTATTCATGCAGTGATCATCATATGATAACCAGTACATGATGAAAACCTTGAAAGTAATGTATCCCATATTAACTATTATAATTACACAGGAAAAGTTAGGTTGCAAATTCAGTTTAAGTAACTGTCTTGTTAGCAACTGTTAATAATAATGTTAGATGGGAAAGGAAAACAGTTCCTGTAATTTTTAGCACAGATTCAAATTGAAATATGTAACAAATTACTCAGATGTGTATACAATTTCCACTTTTGTTCATTCCAACAGACTGGAGTAATTGTAGGGTACAAAAATTTGTTTTGTTACACAAAAGGATATAAACAAGGACCAATGTATTTTCCCAGTGTAGAAAATCACTGCAAGAGTTTTAGTACAGTACAATTCTACCTAAATTACGTTGGATGGAAAGAATGATGTATGATAATTGGCAAGTTATTTACACCAAGAGGTGCAACAACAGTTCACCACATCAACAGAACAGAGATAGAATTCTACTGTACCTGTTCATTTATTTTCTTAAGTAATGTATATATTTATGGTCAGTTTGATGGCTTTGTATCCTGGCTGTACACAGAAGTTTTGGATGTGCCTACTTTTTCATGCCACATAGCTATTCCTCTTTGAAAGAAGATAAATGGTTCTAGACATTGGAGGTTGTTACTCTTTGTTTGGAGGAGGAAGGGTTTACAAATGCATCTGCCCTTAAAAAAAATAGATGTTCTGCTACAATCTCATAGAACAGAGTTGCACATAATAGGAGGACAACTTTTCCAGACTGTGGATCCAAAATTCCTGCAGCAGTATTTGTTCCTGCCTAGCTGAGTTAACTCCAAAGGCTTTTGAAAAAGAATCAGTTGATTGAGATAGTAATGTTTCCTTTCAGGGGAGTGTCAGTCTTCTAACATTGTGTTTGGACAGCACCTGAGCTTGAAGTTGTGTTTCTGAGATACTTGCTCTGCCCTGTATAGTTCTTTGTGTATAAAAAAGAATGTACGCTTGGGTTTTGCATACCTCCTCCACGCTACATACATTCAGTTTGGAGTCATTGCAGTGGACCCAAAACCCTAAAAAGGAGAGAAAACAGAGAATATTAATGGCAAGACTATGGTCCAACAAATTCTTTTTAAATGGTCCTTGGAGGAAAGACATCCAAAGAATAATGCAATCAGTTCCATATGCCCAAGGGAAGGTTGAGATTCTCACTGAGCCTTAAGAAGGCTCTCTTGATCTTTCTGTTCTTCTGTTTCATTGATACTTCTGAGTGATGGGGAAAAAAATTATAGTTCTTTGTACAGAAGGCTGGAAAAATGTAATACAAACATTTTATAAAGAAATGCAATAACTAATGGTTTGGGGAGGAAGCAATTATATTCTTCATTCATAGCAGATTTCTCAACAAGTTTGTTTTTCAGCTTGAGCAGTAGAAATGTCAGTTCTCTCTAACTCTCTGTCTCACACATATACAAACACAACAAGCAAAAAATGCAAGCCTGAGAAAGAGAGAAAGTAACCTCTTTGTAAAAAGCAAGGAATAAACTTTCTTCTCATTGGGTTTAAGCTACAGAAAGCTAACACATTTTTTGATCCTAGTGTTATTATCAATGCACAGTGAAAGCTGAGCAATATAAACTCACACAGAACAAGTATGTTTTTATGGAAGAGATAAATCTATAAGATGCATTAATTTTTTCCCCTGTAATAAGGCTCACGCACCTCCCTCCGTGTTGTAGCAATATGCCGTGTAATGTCCTGAGCCAAACCCTTTCCCGTGATGCATCACCACAGCCGAGAGGTCATAGACAAAGGTCTCTTTGTCAAGAGAGGAGAAAGTATCCCTGCAGCAGTAAGGTTCCATGTTTAATACCTGGTCAAAGAGGACATGGACCCCAATCTTCTCACGGTGATTACGTCCAGACCACCTGCAAATTGAAAACATTTAATCAAAAGGACTTTTAAAATGGTGGAGAACCTCATGCATCATAAAACACTTATATTTGAAAAAGTTTAATATTCTAGTTATTGTCACTATTGTATACAGTACCTTTTCAATTGTATGCTTTTTCAAATTTACTTGACATTAATTTAATAATATGTGTTTTTAAAACTTTGTTATAAAATAACTTCTCTGATATAATATTTGAAAACTATTCTGCTTTTATTTACCAAATCCTTGACATATTTTCTGAAATAGATTATCAGTAAGATAAATGTAATTATGCTAGGACTGAGTTTGTACTTAATGTCCTGGGAAACTGCCAACATTGATTATGCTGCCAGATATATAGATACAGATATTGATATATATTTCCAGGAAGGGAAGGATATGTCTTTCTCCCTTAGAAACCTCTGATGAGAAGAACAATAGTATGTATCTAGTCACCATCAATTGACACAATAAAAGAACTCTCATTCCTACAGGTTAATACTACAAGAAACGTTTTCTGCTATGGCTAAATCTAGTCACAGAAATGTGATTTTTAAGAAACTTTTCAGAAGCTTCAAAGAAAGGGAGGCAACAGAATTATTCAACAACTATATAATTATAAAACCTTCAAAGACCAGAAGTGAGTTTCCCTTTACTGTAAACTGATCATTAAAAGATACATGATGCTGATGAACAATTTCTTCCTAATTTTCCTAATTAATTGTGCAATGCTTTACAATTCACTGCAATCTGCTTTGGGGGTATCCCCTGTTTAACAAACATCAGCATCCACAACTGAAGCAGTAGTGCTATTATAATGAGTTGCTTCCAACATAATGTTTGGCTTCAAACCCACAAAGTGCTGCAATTGTATTACTAGTATTTTCAACTGCTATGTGTATGGACATACTCCATTGGCAGTGGCACTCCTAGGCAAATGGATGAATAATTTTCTACCATGTCTATACCCTAGGTTGACACAAGTAGATTTTAATGTCAAATTTTGAAAAGTTTTCCCTTGAATCGCAACTTGAAATAATTCCAGCATACAATAATTTGAATCCTTATACAATAATTAGAAGAGGAATCAACAATTGTTACGAATATAGCAGATACATAAAACTTGGGAAATCTGTTTAGAAAAGCAAATATACATGAAGAAGTAATATAATGGACTTTTTTTCAGAATTATTCAGTAGCAAACAGGATACTAATCTTTTACTATGTACATCACATATTTACAAGTAGCTACCTCCTTTGTGCTCTGTAATAGTTCTGACAGAAAAATCAAAGAGTAATGTAAAACTTCCAATTATCTTCAAAAATAATATGGCATATATGGATTATATTTTGAGGTCTAGAAATAATATAGTTATAACCATACTGCCATTTCAGATACAAAAACGACTCCACATCTCCATGACCTTCAATTCACCTGAATCGTTTAAGGTGCAGCCGGAGGACCTGAGGTAGTCTGTAGATCATTAACTGCTTTTTAGCTTCACTTAGAATAAGAGGTTTGGGAGAAGACTTCCGTCGTTTGCCTATGTAACATTTAAGAAAGACACAAAATCTGATGAGTTAAAGGGGAAATCTTCCAAAATAAAAGTTGCACACAACAAATTGTCTCTCCATTTTCAGCAGCCATAATCTAAACAATAAAGGTGGGAAGGATAAACATTTCTGGAATTTCTGCATATACCTTTTTCAACAACTTTTAGTTTTGGTGGGGTTTGGGGGAATTGCTTTTTTAAACTGTAATATGCCTATTTTTAGGGCTTACTCTATGGTTTTCATAGCTTCCCACCTCACAATGGTGGGAAACTGTACATTTTCAACAAACATGGTCAAGGGGAATTCCAAGGACCACAAAGAAGATGTTCAAGTGGTATGAGGCTTTGAGCTACAGGTTGCTTTCTCTTGAAGTATGGTATTGCAGCCTGATTTCTTTAGCCATATGTAGACTAGTTATGGATTTCAAAACCAGCTCATTTGTCATTTCATGCAGGAATTATTTACAAGCAGAAGAGTTATAAAAAGAGAAATACAAGGTGCATTCTCTTACCCAGAATTAATTTTTTAAATACCAATTAAATGTTAAATATAGTGGGAATGAAAAATAAGGGACAGGCATTAAACAGTCTGCCTCTCTCTTTGCTATTTAAAAGACTGCCTATGTCAAGTTCAGTGTTTCCCTTTCATAGCTGCCTCTGTGGGAACCAAAATATATGCACCATTCTTCTGAGCTTGTGAAGTGGAACATGAGACCCGAATACATGCATTGTACCAGTGCATTGCCAAGTTCAGAGTAAAGTTTCAAATGCAGAAAATTCATGACAGGTACCTAGTATGAATCTGAAATCTGCCTGCTCCTAGTCATCTATATATACTGTAGCATTTTGAGAAATCATGGCATTACTAGACTTATTCTTCTTCAACCATTACAGGTGGTCCTTGAGTTATGACACCATTCAAAGTTACAATGGCACTAAACGAGTACTACTTATGATTAGTCCTTGAAGTTTCGGCTACCGCAACATCCCATGGTCACGTGATCGCCATTTATGACCTTCCCTGCCAGCTTCCCACAAGCAAAGTCAACAGGGAAGGTCGCAAGTCACTTCTGCTGTTTTTTCTCCCGAGGAGCCCCACTATGGAGTATGAGATCCCAGAGAGCCCCCGCTCCACAGTGCTTGCCCATGGCCCCCACTGGTCTGCCTGTGGCCCC